GGTCATCCAGAATGCTGATGAGGGTATCCCTGATTACACTACAGGCACCACTTCCTCCAGCTAAGGAGGTCAATAGAGACTCCAAACTGCTGCCCATGGAAAACAGGTCTGCAAGAGACTCTAGGGTCAGAAGTGATCCAGAGAACATGCTGGGAGCGGACACTTGAATCCTTAATAAGGAGAGCACTGGCTTCATAGGGCTGTGGGTCAGAACCCAGTGGAGTAGGTAGGACCCTACTCCCGTCCTGCATTTGCCACTAGGTGTTACCTCTGGGGATCACTGATATGGACTGGGCCAGATCCCCAGACTTTATTGTCAGCCTCAGCCAAGAGGCTAAGAGCTCCAGACTGATTGTTCTGTCACAGCTCCCCCGGACGGTAAGGGCAGCCCAGACAATTTTTTTGCCATGAGATTTGATGTCCTGGCAAGAAGAGGTGACTCACCGGGTCATGTCTCATACAACCCCCTTACTACACACACAGTACCCCTGTGACAATCAGCAAAATCTTTCTTCAGCAGCACGATAAAGTTTGAACCCAAAGCAAAAATGCTTGTTTCATTAGCCCACCTCTCTGGACAGCTCACTCCCTAAAACTCTCTCCAGGCACCACCCACTGCTTTAAGACCGACCCACTCTTCTTGTGTCCACTGTCACATTCCGTTTTCTCCTTGGAAACCGTAAGCACATGTTTTATAGATTTCGTCTAATATTTCTCAAACTTTTATACTGGTGACTCCTTTCCCACAGCAAGCCTCTGAGTGTGATACCTCTTATAAATTAAAACACTTTTTTTATATTTAACACTATTATAAATGTTGGTGGTGAACTCAGGTTTGGGCTAGCAGCAGATAGGCTGTGAGCTCCCATATAGTAACCTTCTGATCCCCTAACAGGTCATGACTTAGTCTGAAAACCCCTGATCTAAACTAACTACATTGAATTGTTTATACCTGCAAATTCTATGTGTCTGAAATGTATGCATTTACTAGTTTATAAGCAGAAAATTGTAGGAGGCCGGTGGCCAGGAGTTCTCTACACCTACAGAAAGGCCAGCAGACAAGCTGCCATCCTGCAGGTGCACAAGAGGTGATTTTTCTTTTATGTTTGTTAATTGTTTTTCATTTTAAAATGCCAAGGATTTGTGCACCTGCTAGCAGGCTGGAAATTGGCCTTATGTCCCCATGACCCAGATGTGCATCTCTGAGAGGCTAATTCACTTTATTGACTCTCTCCTGCTAAAACAACAAGACAGAAGCATATAGTCTATATGTAAATGTGCGTGTTTTCATATGGGAAGCCTCATTTTGTTGTATTTTGTTCTGCATATTAGGATGTTGATATGATTTTCTTTAAAGGATAGTTCATTAACTATATGGAAACCTCTAAAAGAAGATCATGAACTTGGATACCAAACAATATTAAACTCTTTTAAAAAGGTCTTCCCAGTAAATTGCCAATCACGCCCAAGAACTATGAAATCTCTGAGGGCATCTACCCTTCTGTGCTGTTAAGTCATAGCAGCAGGGTTCCCAGTTCCTGTGGTATGAGTCTTCAAAATGATTGCTGGCATTTCATTCAGTCACAAGTAAAATTCTTATCTGCAACAGGATTCCTATGATTCTATCCACTAATCTGGAAAGAAAAGGTTTCCTGCCTCTATCAATTAGGCAATCAGAACAACATGAGATACTTTTGAAACAGCTCAGCTCTCTTTATTGTCTATCAGGCTTGCCATTTTGCCTGAATTTACCCCAATCTAAGTAAATCTCAGTGGATTTTGTATTAAAACACTGAAAAAAATCTTGTTAAAACCTAAAATAGTAACAGTTTTGTTAAATGAAACATATCACATATGCTTTGTGATTCACTTTGTAAGCACTGTTTTTCTGCAGACATAAAACAGTAAATATATTGTCCAAAATTAACAGCTTGAATTTTGCAAGTGCTTTTCAACATTATGGATTTGGCAATGACTTACACAGATGCAAAGTACCCTCATTTGAACTGGGGTAAGTCACGCTACTAAAAGTAAGCTTACATGGGCGCACTGTGTCTAACCTAGGGGTTTGCACGGTTTATGTAAACAAAACCTTTATATAAGAACACAAATGCCAACCCCATAGTCTAGTGAAGCATAACACTCTTTTGTATTTACTCTTAACTTTTACCAAATTATTCAAATTTTTGATAACTGGAATATAACAAGCTTTCACTAAAATCAATTCCAACGTACTAAAATTCAGTTAACTCTAAGATCAATTGATGCCGATAGTGGTAGATTGTAAAAATGGATAATATCCTGTATTCAATTGTTCTATTTTCTGTGATTTTTTCCCCACAACTTTCCATCACTTTTATGTAATGAAGTGTTATACATTTAGAGCTAGTCAAAATTTTAAGCAAAAAAGTGGGAAGAAAATAGTCATAAAACATTCTCACAAATACTGCTCTTTTTCTCCCTCTTTCTGACTAGTTCTACTCCCCACAGTCTTTTTCAAATATAATTGTAGTTATGAAATCTGGATCTTCATATTTGCCTTTTGTAAAGAAGTATGGAAGTGAGGGCTACATTTTGCCATCTCAGTTTCAGCCTCTTTTTCCTGTTCCAGGCTCCTCCTATGATCTTTTGAATAGAGACCAATCATGGTGGGGGGGGGTGGGACATTACATTTTGAAGTTCTTTTTAACAATTTTGTTGTTTGGTTCCAATTTTAGTTCTTAATTAGGTCAAGTCAGATTTCCACAGAACACTGGAGTGTTAATGTAATCTGTCAAGTACCTCTGAAGCTACCTTCAGTTGCTGTTGCAAGATGTGTGTTTCTGTAGAGGCCCTTGGTGCACAAAACGCATGCAATGTTTTAGTCAAAGTCCTTCTATTAGTGCTAATTTTTATCATACTTGTGATAGTTGGGCAAAAATGCAAAGGCATTGTCATCCCTAGATTTCCACCTAGTGTCATGAGGAAGCTTGGATATTAGTCTTTTTCACTCAGCAAATTGTGAGGATATTGGCAGTTGAGGTAGAATTTCTGAAACTCCAAAGGTGGGCTGTGTTCAGTGTTATATTTTCTCATAAGGATTAAAGGACTGTTCTAAGCATCCATACAGCTAAAGTTCTAGATGACTGCTCCTGAAAAATGCTAGCATCCTTTCATATTCTATTTTCTTGTCTTAGCAAATAGCAATGACCTTCTCGTTATACCTTGCATTCTTGGATGGCATCGTAAGCATCTTGGACACAATATTCTGAGTAGCAGCACAGCACCAGAGACAGAATCAACAGAATTTAATAGGAACACATATTTCCTGTATTGATGGTATATTCTCTACTACACCACTTTTTATGTTTTACCAAACATCTTGCATTAATAACCAATATGGATGCCTTTCATTTTTCCTTTAATTTTCCCCTCTGTCTCTTCATTTGCAGTGCCTAGAAATAACCCAGCAAGTTTCAATCTGTGTGGTAGAGTATATCCACAGTTAACAGCTTCAGTCATGCTTCAAATTGTTCATTTTGTGCTAGGCTGAACATGATGTACTTAGCATAGTACAAATGGGTGCTTACAGTTGGGCTCCTTAGTTCATATTTATACAAATTGGTCAAACGGTATGTTTTGTGGGGGAAAATAAAGATACAAGGTTTTTTGTGTCATTTAAGTGTTTCAAAAGATATCGTGTTATTTTATTTTAAAAATTTACCTGCTTCCAATTAAATAATTAGCACATGAGCCCTAATGTTAGCTAAGCTAAAATTACACTAAAGAAGCACAATGAGGAGCAAGAAAGAGGAAGCCAACTGGATATTCCTTCTCCCAAAATTAAATTCAAACATACGGTTTACATTTATATACTCCCCTTACCTGAACAGAAGTCATCAGAATATCTGTCATATACTGCCTTGCAGTTTCTTTCATCACACTCACAGGTATCTCCATGAATATCTCCCCAGTCACCAGTTGGGTCCACATCATGGCATGTGCATTCACCACATATACATGTGCCTAGGAGGTTGGAGGGGGGGGGGGAGAGAGGGCAGAAATGAGCCTAAGAAAGTGCATTAATAGGGATCGGTGTAGGAACTAACACTTGTTACTTTGTCTCCACAAAAGCTTTGTGAATGTAGAGTCACTGTTCCCAGTGCTCATTAGTTAAAATGTATCCAGTGGTTTCCACTGTCTCAAGCTATCTTATTCCATAAAGGAGTTTAATTGCTTCTTCCATTTAGTCTGAATGAAGGGCAACTAGCACATCCATCAATTTCAGCAAGAACTATGACTGCCCACAGTTGAAAGTCAAGTTTGCTGGCAGCCCACCAGACCCCTCCATCACAACAATATGATGTATTTGAAGAGAACTGGGCTGGATGAATAGACATTAGACACTTATAAAGTTCATTTAGTGCAAAGAATGTTAAACAGTTATAGAACACTTACAGTGGAAAAATTATTTAATGGTGATGTAATCTCTGAACAGTAACTTTTTAGAGTGACTTTTCATCAGCTGCCATAGATATTCAGTATATAATTAAACTATGTAAACTCAGAACACTGATCAAAACTCATTAATGAAGTGAGTAGAAATAGCTTTTATAACATTGTGGCATGCTGAAGTTTCATGTGAATGAAATCATGAAAAGTTAAAAAGGCCCCTGGAAATAGTACTGGGCAGGCAGTTCCCTTGTACATCCTGTAGAAGTTTCCAGGTATTAAGGATACCAGTTATACTTATTTGTACTGCTCCAATAAAAAAAAAATAAAGAAATGCTTGCTAATTAAGACATCTTAAAATTCCCTTTAGTAAGGTATCGCTATAATAGTGCAAATAAAACATTTGATTTGATACAAAGTTTTATATTTATTGTTTCCTGTATTACACAAGGTTTTTTAGTTAAAATCCAAAAATTAAATGAGCTACATTATTTCTGTATTTAAGCCAGGCTTTCAGTTTTCCCATAATTAAGATGAGAGCATTTTCTAAATGCACTCAGGATAATTAGGTGCTCATAGTAGAGCAGGCTTTCTCAGTAAAGATATATTTAAGAAAGGTATCTATGAGACTTGCCCTTTTGCTCCTCTGTAATAGTTCTGGAGAGTAGCCAAAGAAATAACATTCTCACTTAGAACTATTTGTTCAGTGAAGCCAAATATAGCAGCTGGTGAATGTAAACCTCAGTTTTTTCATTATTTCTTCCCAAATTGGCAAAATTAAATGGAAATTATAGATGAAATTCAAGTGATTGGATTTTGTGCAGAGAACTATATGTAGTTATAAAAAAAAATCCATCTTGTAAAGCCATGAGAAGGTCCTCTTTCGGATGAGATTAAACTGTTCTTTCATAGCCCATATTCTGGTATTTTGGAAACCCACAATGAGTTATCTGCCATAACCCATCCAGTGAAGCTTCATTGCAGGAGCAAGAGAAGAAAAGGCTTCCCTCTCTTGGGTCAATTTCATCTGGCAAATACATATTTTATATATAAAAATTCACATACGTATGTATATAAGAGGAAATATGTGTATGAATATACACATAGGCACACACACATGCATAAATGTACATCTATGCGTACACACATACACACAGGTGCCAATTTTTTTAAATGCAGGAGTAAAAGAAGGCAGCAAAACCAAAAACTATTACCAAAAATTATTACCTTTGTCCTAGTGCAAAATATCTACTATATATTTGAGAGAGTTTGTGTGTGTGTGTGTGTGTGTGTGTGTGTGTGTGTGTATCTGTCTGTCTGTCTGTGAGTCTGTTCAAGAACTCCTCCTAAACAGTAAGAGCTAGGACCATAAAATTCAGTATACAACTTCCTCTTATCATAACTTAAAGCAAGGTAAGTGTTCGGTTGTGCCAGGACAATAGGATGTGTCTGGAATATGATTGTTTTTCATAAAATGGAAAGGGAGGGGTCTGCTATCAGAGACAATTACACTGTATAATGATGACTACAGGAGTACAACAAGGGGCCAGAGATGGGGACTGGACAGCTATAACCCCAAGAGGCCATCGGGGAATGGGGAGCAAAAGGAACAGCTGTCCACTATATATTTGAGAGAGTTTGTCTGTCTGTGTGTTCCCCAGGCAGGGGACATGCACCCCTCCCTGGCTATGCCCTGGACTGGCGCTTCTCACCTGGATCCAAGTTGCTGCTCTGACATTGGGCTGGGGTTATCCTCTCTTTCTGGGGTAGCCTGCATAATGAACCCCTCATCCACAGCCCCACCCCAGAGCAATGATTTAAATGAAGAAAAAAAATCAGTTAAGGTCCCAAGCAATACCAGGTAAATCCTCTGGTATACACAGAAAATATGTGAATGACACACCTCTGTTGCTGCAGATTTTGCCATCTGGAGATGTGCATCTTTTCTTGATCTCCCATGGGGTGATGTCACACTGGAATTCACATTTATCTCCATGCCAACCAGCCTCACAGTAACAGTTTCCACAGTAACACTTTCCATGGCCTTAACCCAAAGCAAATTTTATACAGTGAGAAGACGACAAGTTTTTTTAAAAGAGCATTAATAATCTAACCATTTTACTAACTTTTTTCTTCATCCTTCCAGTGTTATGATCACAACAAAAGCAGTTGACAGTTTTTGCTTATGAATAAAATAAGATTAATACAAAAGCAATTAGGGATGTTGTACTGATATACATCTTTGAACCTGTTTTACAAATGTTCTTAATTTGTAACACATAAATCAACAATAAAATAAATGTAAATGTATGTTTGTAACAATCGTTAAACTTAATTTTTTAGTATGGCCGGGTACATTGAGTAGATTGTGAACTTAATAGAGATTTAAGAGAACTTTCAATACACTACTCTGGATCCATCTCTCAAGCAAGAACTACAAGGTAGTGTACACTTGTAGCTTCTGAACAACAGGAGGTGAGGGAGCTCAGCCCCTTGTTGGAATCACTCCATGGGGGTCAGTGCAGATGGAGGGCTCTGAGAGTACGTCTAGACTACAGGCTTTTGTCGACAGAAGTTTTGTCGACAGATACTGTCGACAAAGCTTCTGTCGACAAAGAGCGTCTAGACTACATTCAGTTCTGTCGACAAAGCAAGCTGCTTTGTCGACAAAACCCTGTAGTCTAGACACAACCCTACATGCAATAACACCTTCTGTCGACAGAATTCTGTCGACAGAAGGCGTTATGCCTCGTAAAATGAGGTTTACCAGCGTCGACAAAACTGCTGAGTTCTGTCGACGTTATGTTGACAGAACTCAGTGGTAGTGTAGACGCAGGTATAGTTTTGTCGACAAAAGTCCACTTTTGTCGACAAAACTTTGTAGTCTAGACACACCCTGAGCAGCTTACAGAACTGTGGCTTTTTGTTTGTAACTATTTTAAACAGGAAAATTATGCACTTAGAAAAATCTGCTCTTAAAAATTAAGAACTAGCTAGAAGGTCAATCCCATCCATGAATCAAAATGGCCCTTTAACAAATGCATCCATTTCCCTACCCCAATTTTAATATCCTGCCTTTGGTCATTTGAGGTTTGAGATCCTACAAGCTTTTAAGCCCTCTGACCCAACCCACCAAAGCACTTAACTTTCAGCAGGTAAATACTCCAGTGACTTCAATGGGACTACTTACTTGTCTAAAATTAAGCATGTGATACCACCTCATGTGCTTAAAGTTAAGTACATAGTTAAGTGCTTTAGTGAGCAAGCCAAGACCTCGCAGAATTAAGTCTTTTTTCACTGTAGTATGAGTGTCAGACTCGACAGTTAGCAATTTTTGCAAGAAATGGATCAGCTGCTTTCCTGAACTATCTCATTAACCATCAGCAGTGCAAATTTGGAATTGTGAAACGTATCTTTTATAGCAAACATGACATTTCCACAGCTGTCAACCAATTATGGAAAAGGAACAGTTCCATGTGACTTATTTAGCTAACCAACACACAGCAAATTTTTAATTTCAGATATTCACAATAAAATAAAGAATTTCTTCTTAATAAATTTGTAAATAATTTCTAAAACTAAATACATTTCAGAATGTGGCATTTTTTGCAGACAATTCACACTCATATATGCCCAGAATTAGTATGAATTAAATAATTTAATCTACATTTTTCTGGTAGTGGATCTATAGTTCCTGACTGAAGAAAATACTATCCTATGAGGATACAACAAATTGCAAAGGTTAGTTAGCTATAATGTGGTCCATCTTAAAAATCAGGCTATATCTTCACTGACACTGAATATAAAATCCCTATGACTAATCCCCCCAAAAAGAAATAAAAATTGGCTGAACACTAAGGCTACGTCTAGACTGCAAGCCTCTTTCAAAAGAGGCTTTTTCGAAAGTATCTTTCAAAAAAGCCTCTTTCAAAAAAGAGCGTCTAGACTGCAAGCAGTACCCAGGCAGTCTGGACGCTCTCTTTCGAAAAAGCCCTGTTTGCATTCAAGAACGCCTTTTTTCGAAAGAGCACTTTCGAAAAAAGGCGTTCTTACTCGTGAAATTAGGTTTTCCGCCATCGAAAGAAAAGCCGCGTTCTTTCGATTTAGTTTCGAAAGAACGCGGCTGTAGTCTAGACGCAGGAGAAGTTTTTTTGAAAAAAGTCTACTTTTTTCGAAAAAACCCTCGAGTCTGGACACAGCCTAAATGGATCATTTAAAAAATAGCCAATAGGATGATAAAAGAGCCAGTTGAAAAAAAGGCTTTTTTGAACCTGTGCCACACACAATAAATAACATTCTAGGGAAACATGCCCCAAAGTAAAGTTACTGATAGTTCAATACATTGTTATATGTACTTTTCCAGCAGCACTCATACCTGGCTCATTGCTGATGATTTCTAAAATGTTTGTGTAACTAGCAGCAATCATTTCTCACAAGATTGACCCTTCATGTCTAACTTGTTTAAAGAAAATTAAAGTAATGTAGGCCACCTCTCAACTTCAGATCTGCCTATAGCTACCTACTCTTCATGGCAAGGTCAGCAGCCAGGATGTGGAGATGCCACTGAATACTGTAGGTGCACAGTAGGGAACGGCTACAGGAATCTTCACCCTTTGCTCTGAAGACCTGCCTGAAGCTGTTGTTAGATACTGAGCTAGACTGACACTGAGAACCTTTATTTTATTTTATTTTCCTCCTCCAGACTTTTTACTCCCTGTGCTAAAGTTCCACTAGGATTTGGGATTGTGATTGGAGATGAGCTCAAGCTTGGATGGTTTGCTGAATAGAGATGCTTTCCAGAATGGAAACCTCTGAAAAAAAGACTGCCTATGCAGTGTTAAAATACTGTTTTTTTAATAGATGGGATCTTTACATTTCCTTGAGATGTGAGGGAGGCCAGAGAAGATGAACATAATGGTCCCTTCTCGCCTTAGAAATCTGTTATTCATGAAATCTATTAAAATTGGAAAATATTCCTTTGGGGGAGCTGCATGGAAGGAGTACATCTAGGACCTGTGGAGCACATCAAATGGAGCAACAAGCACAGAAGAGAGAAGGTAGGATGATTTAGGGTTTGGGAAGTTTCAATTCAAAGTTATATACTTTTGGCATTTTTCTTCTTTGTTGTTTGCTTTGTCTCTTTGGGGTCCAGTCTTGTATATGCTTTGCTTTTAGTAGAAGAGGAGCACCCCAGCACAACTGCTCATGTTAAAGTTAAACTATGCATACATTTGCAAGATAAGAGTCTTAGTTGGCAAGCTGTCCAAGGCTGTACTCCTATCTTACTGTTTGTAATATCTTTAATTGGACCCTGATTTATCTAGGTTCTAGTATAACTGATGGGGTGGATTAGGCCCTGAGGCCTCCTGCTGGTGGCCTTATGATCCTGCCCTAGAAAAGGGAAGTAGAGAGGTTCTCCACACTGTGTGGGATGCAGGCAATCAGGGCCCAGCAGGCTAATGTAAGAACAGCTGCAGGGCCAGAGTGAGTTCAGTTCCTTGCTAGAGCTGGAGGAGTGTGGATGGCTGAGGGAGCTACAGACCCTTGGATGAGGTAGTGCTACCAGAAGCTTGGGCGAGCAAGAAAAATCCTCAGCTGATTACAAGAATGTATCAGACTAAGGCCCTGAAGTAAGGGTGCAGATGGTTCAGGGCTGCGAGGAAGTAGCTCAGGGAATTAGAGTAGCAGTGCAACTTAGATAAAGAGACAGAGTGACAGCTGCTCTACAGGGTCCATGGGCTAGGACCCAGAATAGCGGTCAGTCCCAGGCCATCCCCAACCCACCATTCATCACTGGCAGAAGTGGCTTTGACTTTAAATCCTGGTCTACACTAGGGAGTCATTTCAAAAGAACTCCCCTTATTTCGAAACAACAAACAGAGTGTCCACACTACCAACCCCATTATTTAGAAATTAGGGGCTGGTTATTTCAAAATAATTACTCCTGCTTTCCATGAGGTCTAACGCTTAATTCAAAATAGCAGTAGTGTGGACGCTCCACTGCTGGTATTTCGAAACAACTACTCCCAGAGGCATTCAAAGTAATTATTCCCCATTGCTTCCTGGGGCTTTAAGTAGAGGTAGCGCAGCCACATTCAAAAAGCCTGCCTCAGACTAATTTTGAGGCTTCCCTGTAGTGTGGACATGCTATTTTGAAACAGTTATTTCGGGAGTTATTATTTTGAAATAAATTATTTTGACATAATTTCCTAGTATACACAAGTCCAAAGCCACTCTAGAAGAGGGAGTGACCTGTAGAGACCCAGCTGAAGAACTGGGGCTAGAAAGGCCCTGAGAAGGTAAAGACATTGTCTCCAGGGAAGAAGTCCTGAGGCACCTCTCTATTTCAGAGCAGGGACAAACTGAGAGAGACATTACCGAGGGCACTGAGGGAGGCCCCTGTTGGACTTGTACCCTGAAAATAGTTTGCTTTGCTTTTATCTCACAGACAAACTGCATATGACTTGGCTGGAGTGCTGGGTCAGTAAAGGCCCACCAAAAACAGGTAGAGGGGGAGTACAGGATAATGTGCGTGGCTAGGGGGGCACTCGTGACAGGTGAGTGAAACCCATTACACTAATCAATTTCCATAGTGATGGATTATGAAGATACAAGCACTAGGGACCTGGTTCATGGGTGTATTTCTCCATTCACTCTTAAATTCAGTAAGTACATCAGCATAAAATTGGAGTTTTACAGAGATAAAGTTAGTCCCCTGTTGGATTATGGCACCACTGAATGAAACAAGCATAGGGAATAAGAGGTTAGGAAAAAGCTTTATCATGAGACAAAGCACTGATGAGAAAGGATGCACAGAAAAATGCAACAGTAAAGTTTAATGGGGTTTTGTAAAATGTCAAGTGATATCAAATGTAATAACATATGGCAGTAGTTCTTTAAAATATGTGAAAATACAATATACATTGAATCACTGACTTATATCCTTCCCCAGCTTTTACTTTGGTCAATTGTTTAATAAATTGGGCAGAATTCCCAGGGTATAGTTTTTTTCAAGTGTCATATTACTATCATCATTTTAAAAAAACTTATTATGTACATCCAAAGTTCTTTTCTCTCCAAGGACAGTACAGAGAGTTAAACAAATAGAAATTATTTTGGTTTCTCTTTATATGGATGATTACAGATAGTAATACATATTTTACACATACTCCCCAATATAAAATTGCAGTACTATGAAAGTGAATCTGGTACCCTTGTGTATGTGTGTGTGCATTACACATTTCTAATTCCACTTTTCATAATATCGTACTTCTCTGTTTTTAATGTAGCGCTACAGTCTCTCTTTTTTTCTTCCATCCATGCATGTATCTGTGTTGTACATGTGACTCATTTACTAGAAAATTTAGCAGATTTCTGGGGTTAAGCACCCTGGCTCCTGTTTTTCTTCATAAAAGCAGACAGTGGCTCAGGGCTGCTATGTTCTCATCTGAAATTCTTACTCATTGTTCACAATGGGTATTCATGCTATTTATCTCTTTGTCTCTCAATGCATGCATGCAATGAAGTTACTTTTATAATTCCAATAAGTACAAATCTGAAACCCTGTATTACTCTATTGAATATTTTAAAAAGATTTGAGTGCTCTTCTTTACTTATTTACTAATGGACTTACCTGTACAGATTTCTTCTATTTCATCATCTATGCATTCTCGGTCATCACACTCACAAAATTTACCATAGATCAGTCCATTCCCTTCTGAATTCTCACACTTACATCTGCCACACTGACATACACCTGTAAACATTTTAAAAAACAACTCTATATGATTATAATTTAAAGAAAAATTAGTTGTTGCTGTTTTATTTAGTACTGAGATAGGTTTTTATACCTTATTGCTGAGCTGATTGAAACATAACACAAAGGTTCAGGGAGGAAGGGAGGTTTATTTGATGTGTAAATAGATTTTTTTTTAGTTTTCTCACTCTACAAAGAATAAAGAACCATCACAGGAAGTATAGTTGTGACCTCTCTGGTTTGGCACCCTGTGGACCTGAGCAGTCCCAGACTAGGCAGTTTGCGGGACCGGGGGTGTGTGTCAATGCTCCCCTGTTGGCTACCCCACTGCTGACTCCTCTTTTTGGGGCTCCCCACCCTGCTGCTGCACACTGCTGCTGGGGGTTCCCCAGGGTTTCCCTGCTGGTCTACGCTGCTACACCCAGCCCTGCTCGTTTTTTCCCTTCAGCCAGTAACTGGAGATTTTCAAACTCTGTATTAATTAATGCATTTGAAGGACTTCTGGTTAGATCCATCATAATATCTTCATATACCCAGACTGTCTTCCTCCATACAGCATTAGGGATGTTCAAATGTGTTTATTTTGGTACCCACTGATACAGAGGCAGCAGTGCAGTTGGGGGCAGGAACCAGTATGTGCAGGGAGCCCCCCAGGTGCTCACTGGTAGCCTGCTTAAAAGCAAGCTCCCTGTGAGCACCAGTCAGGGCCGGCTCACAACATTTTAGCTCCCCTGAGGCGGGGAGCTCAAATGATGCCCTCATGCCACCTTTTCTCCTGCCTGCCTGTTACGTCTCGTGTCCTCCTTCCTCCAGCACAACTCTCCACCATCTCTGTGCGTCTAGAGCAGAGAGAATACATATGCACCAGAGGCAGAAACAATTTTCTAATGGTGCCCCTTCACAGTCTGGCACCTGAGGCGGCCACCTCAGTTCGCCTCATGGTAAGGCCAACCCTGGCACCAGTGCCTGCTGACTCCTGTCCCCATGCTGCTGCTTCTGATACAGAAGTAACAGTGCAGGGTGGTGGGGAGCTGCATGTAAGCATGCACATTAACTGATGAGCCTGGTATACTATCACATCCCTATACAGCATAGACTTTGAGAGACGTGTTTCCCTTTTTGTAATGGCTCTCATATGGTGGTGTGTGTTTCCATTGAAAGTGGGCACATTTATTAACATGCATGTTATTTGTAAGGTGACATAGCAATACAGCTTGATAAATAGTGCAAACATTGTCTACAATCTCTTAATAACAAAACACAAACTTTTGGAACTAATATAACATTAGATGATCATCACAGTGATGCTGCCATGCAACCTGCGTCCCAACCTGAACAACTCAAATTCTTTAAAAATGACAAGAACTTGATTACAAATAAGCTACAGATCTAGAATTATTTGCTGACGTTACTTAGTGAATAATGTTGGATAATGAATAACTTCAAGAAAACGCCAATCCGTCACCAGATGATTCACAAATAGAAAGAGAGAGAAAATGTATTAATTACAAATTATTCAACCAGCTTTCTGTATAACTGTGTGCATGTATTTTTATAAAATGCATTAAGAAGTTGGTCTCCTAGGGTTCTGTTTTTTCTTTTTGCTTCAGATACAAACCTTAGAGTCTAAGAATAAAGGTCAGCTAAGTAGGTAAAAGACCTGGTGCCTCACTGGGCAAGTATTTGCAAATACATGCTTGATTGATTTGTTTAATTCAGTTTCACACATATATCAGATACCTGTTTCAGGTGCTAGGTGTAATTGCTACCAGGCAGATTTGAACCTGGGATTTCTGGAGTTTAGTGTAAGACCCTCTACAGCTCCAGCTATAAATCCAGCTGGCTCTCAACTTTGGCTGTAGTGCTCACTTGTTCTTATCTCTTGCTATAAGTGGTCTACATGCCACTATATGGGACAGTGAACCACACCCACTAGGTGTGTGGGTTACATAGGCAATCTGGCAAATAATTTAATAAAACATAGTCCACAACTAAACTAAACTAAACAATATTAGCAGCCCAGTGGCCAATCCCACACAACACCAATCATAGCCTGTGAACAAAACATTCTGTCTTCCATCTGGATATTAGATAGATAGATAAACAGATAGAGAGGCTACTCTTTTATGAGAGCTTTGCCTCCACACAAACTGACTCCCTATTTAAAAATTGAGCAAATGATTGAGTCTTCACCACCAGTCTTGCCTTAATTTCTCTTTTTATCTACTTGGATAATTCCCACAGACATTAGCACTTATCATAAAATTTAAATGGAGAAACAAAGAGTTGCAACAGCTCAGAGTGTAGAAGGGTTTTGGCTGTAGGTTTCCTAATCAAAATTACATAGCAAATGTTTTGTGATAGTAAGTTTTAATAATCAATGTTACACTTCGGCTACGTCTACACTGGCCCCTTTTCCAGAAGGGGCATGTAAATTTCATGAGTCGTAGTAGGGAAATGCGCGGGGGATTTAAATATCCCCCGCGGCATTTAAATAAAAATGTCCGCCGCTTTTTTCCGGCTTTTAAAAAAGCCGGAAAAGAGCGTCTACACTGGCCCCGATCCTCCGGAAAAAGCGCCCTTTTCCGGAGGCTCTTATTCCTACTTTGAAGTAGGAATAAGACCCTCCGGAAAAGGGCACTTTTTCCGGAGGATCGGGGCCAGTGTAGACGCTCTTTTCCGGCTTTTTTAAAAGCCGGAAAAAAGCGGCGGACATTTTTATTTAAATGCCGCGGGGGATATTTAAATCCCCCGCGCATTTCCCTACTACGACTCATGAAATTTACATGCCCCTTCCGGAAAAGGGGCCAGTGTAGACGAGCCCTTCCTGTTTAAATTTCTAGAAGGATTTTTGCAAATGCCTCATTTGCATCTTATAAAAAAAAAATCTAAGCCCCTCTCCATGTTAATGTTGTTACCACGTCCTTTTGATGAGTAAACCATCTGGCACAGTTGGAGTCTTCATCAATTTAAAATAGTTATGGATGAGCCAGAACATTAAATCGAGCATTCTGAGTACTCTTTAGAGGTAATTTAAAAGTCATAACACTTTTTCACATAAATCCTTTGAAAAAGTTTAAACTAGCAGTGCATATTATGTCTAGCAATTTGCATACTACAGTTTAGGTTATTTTCCACTGATTTTTCTGGATGAAGAAGTCATTCAGAACAGCTGGAGTTCATGTCAATTTTAAAGGATAGACTGGGCCCTACTGACTTATTTTCATTGTATTATTTGAATTCCATTACACACACACATGCTCACCAATAGATTTTCACACAAATTCAGTATGTCTCTATTAGTATACTAAGCAATCGTTAAAAACATATTCCATGAAGTTTTAATTAAAACATTTCTAATGGCATCATGATCTATAAGGTAACACAGTGAGGACTTTGACCATTAAGGAAATTATCTTACCTGCATTAGAACAGATAATATCTTGAGAATTTTTACACATTTCATTGCTTTTCTTCCGTGTAAGGTTACAAGTAGTTGGGTACTGACAAGCTTCACCATACCAGCCTTCATCACATTTGCATTTCCCACAGTCACACTTTCCATGGCCTAGGAATTTACAAAAACAGTGTCAAATTCAGTTATTCTAACTTATTTTTTCTTATCTGCTTTTTTAAAAAGTTACAGTTGCATCAACAAAATTTAAAGTTGACATCTTTAACAAAATCAATTTAAGTTATGTTTCCACAATTACAAATATGACTATTTTTCTAAAAACTAGAAAAAGTTTAACTTTGAAGAGATATATAAATGTAGGTAACTTCAGAGTACATTATTTTGATAGTCTTGAATGGCTATTTTTAAAAATGGTTATAGAAATAGACTACTACTACTACATAATCAATATATAGCCTGATTTTTGTTAAAAAAATCCTTAATTGTTAATCATTATTGTCACAATAAAATGAGAGAGAGAGAGAGAGAGAAAGAGAGAGAGAGAGAGAACTTATGTTAGGGCACGTCTACACTTCACATGCTTATTTCAAAATAAGCTATTTTGGAATAATAACTCCCAAAATAGCTATTTAGAAATGGTGTGTTCAGACTACAAATGCCCATCAAAATAACACAGATCTATATTGAAATAGCGTGTCCACACTGATTGGAGGCTGAATTGCATTTAAGGTCTCCCGGAAGCACTCCAGGAAGGGCATCAAGACAGCAGTCACTTCCTGGAGCTGCTGCCTGAGGCTATCTGAGGCTCATGCTTAAAGGAATTCCCCTCTAAAGCTGTGTCTCAGGATCTTCACTTTTGCCTAACTCCTCGAGGGATAGCAAAATCATCTCACTGCCTAGTCTGGTTTCCCTTGCAGACACCACAGCACACCAGCTATGGAGCCAGATCTGCTGCAAAGCACTTGCCAGCTCTCAGACATCCTGCTGCACCTCCTGCTGCAGTTACTGCAGGCTGCCCATGTGGCACTGCAGAACTAGGGCCTGCAGCTCACCATGAGGCACCTTCTCACCTCTCTCCACATGCTGCTCATGCAGCACGACTCCTCCTTGCCCTCCCCTGCACACCGTGAACCACCACTTCTGGCACCAGGACACCTGTTCCGACTGGTGGGACCGGATCATCATGGAGCGATAGGATAACAAGCAGTGGCTCCAGAACTTCTGCATGCAGAAGGACACCTTCTGGAGCTCTGTGAGTGGCTTACTCCTGCCCTCTGGCAATGGAACACCCACATGCGACCTGCCATCCCCTTCCATAAATGAGTAACAATTGCACTTTGGAAGCTCACCACACCAGACGGCTATCGCTCCATCAGGAACCTGTTCAGCACGGGGAGATCAACCGTTGGGGCCATGCTCATGCACAGGGCTTGACAAATAATGTAATCTACTCACCCAAGGGGAGTAGATTACAACCCAGAAGAGCTGGCGCAGAGCGATCTGCGCATGTGCAGAACAAAGAACAGCGTGAAACTGCACGGCTGGTGAGTGGGGCTCGCCACTGCTTAGCGAGTCCTATTCATGCAGGTTTGACTCTCTTATGATTGTCCTAGGACATTGTTTGAACTGATGGAATGGGATTCCCTAGGAAATGGGTGGGTGGACTCTCCCTCCCTGGAGGTTTTCCAGCCCTGCCTTCACAAAGACCTGCTGGGGTTGGGGAACTTGGGGGTTGCTCCTGCTGTGGGAAGGGGTTTGGGGAATTTCTGAGGGCTCTGGCAACCATGTGATTCTCCATTTGTATACTTTTACAGGCGGTGATGTCCATCGACACCATCCTGCTGTGCAGGGTCTTCACCCTGAGCGACATGGATCTCATCATGGCTGGATTTGCCACCATGGGCTTTCCCATCTCCAGAAGGGACATTGAGGGTGCCCAGAGCCCCATCCGGGCCACCAACCACTGGCTATTGGATTACATCAACCAGGAAGGGTACTTTTCCATGGTCCTGCAGGTCGTCATTGGACCACCAAGGCCGTTTCACTGACATTAACATTGGGTGGTAAGGGAAGGCGCACGAGCCTGCATATTTCACGAATGGAATGGCCCCCAGAAGATGACGGCCTGCTGTATCCTGCACAACCTGAGCGAGAACAAGGGGGAGACATTCCTACCAGGGTGGGGGGCAGAGACTGAGCAGCTTGCAAATGCCTTTGAGCAGCTGTGCACTGCTGCAATCTGGTAGGACCATCAGGGGACTGTGCACATCCAGGAGGTCCCAAGGGAGAGTTTCAGACAAGACCAGCTGTGACACTCTCCACTGGTGTCCCATCACGGTGTCGGGAGTAAGGCAGGCCTCTCCAGAAACACTGCAGGAGGGCTGGGTTCTGTTGTGGCAGCCTCATGCAACTGTGTGCTCTAGACTAGTGCTCCATGTGCACTCATGTGCCCAGGATGCTGTGTGATCCCCAGCCCAAGAACAATGAGGGAGGAGTGCACAGCGCCATGCTGCCCACCACCTCCTCTCTTGTGTGTCTAGGGAAAGTAATATAGTGATAGAAATGTAGCCGTTTTAGTCTGGTGTAGCTGAAACAAAAAAACAGGACTATGTAGCACTTTAAAGACCATCTTGTTAGTCTTTAAAGTGCTACATAGTTTTGTTTAGGGAAAGTAATGGAACTCACCTGATGACATCCCAGGAAGCGGGTACTGGCTCTACGGGCAGGCTGACCTCCTGACTGGCAGGCATCATCTCCTAGCTGGCCTCATCTTTCTCCTGCCCCTCCTTTTTGCCCATGGGCCCATCCTCCAGGAGGTTGACAATAGGTGCCTCCAGCCCAGTGTCCACAACCAGATGGAGGGAAGGGACTGACCACCTTCCCAGGATGTGGTGGACCTGTTCATAATAGGGGCACGAATGGGTGCTACTCTGGAGCAAGAGCTCTGCTCCCTGGCCTTGGTGTACTTGTGCCTCTGTTCTTTCACTTTCATGCATACATGCTCCTGCGAGTGCATGTGGCCCTTCTGGCCCAGGCTCTCAGCCATCTGCCCACAGAGATCCACATTCCCGTGCCTGGTGCAGAGATCCTGAAGGTTTACTTCCTCTCCCCAGACTTCAATAAGATCCAGCATCTCTGCACTAACTAGGATGGTGTCTTCCTTTTCTGCCCTTGGGCAAGGGCTTGGGAGCTGGTTGCCAACTTGCTAGCAGCCCTTCAGGGCTCGGTGGGGGCAGTGGGATTAGCCATTGCTGCACACAAGGGTGGTGCTGCATGACACAGGGCTGGCTGGGCCTTCCTTCTGCCATAAGCCCTTTCCTCTGTGGCTGCAGCTTTAAGGCCTTCAGGGGAAGGAGAACTATAAATTTCTGATAGGTGTGGACAGAGTGGCTACCAGGGCAGCTATGAGAAGCCCTGGAGGCCAATTATTTTGAAATAACCACAGCTGCCCTGTCTACACATGCCCTATTTCAAAATAGTCGTTATACTTCGTGAAATGAGGGTTTATTATTCCAGAATAAGAAGCCAGTTATTTCAAAATCATTTTGAAATAACAGGCTTGCTGTGTAGATGCTCACCTTCTTATTTTGAAATAAGATGAGTTATACACACACACACACACACACACACACACACACACACACACACAGAGCTTGACAAACCCCAGCGAGAGCTACTCGCCAGCCCCGCACTGCTCATGCGCCAGACTGGCACTGCGCATGCGCGAAGCACCGGTAAATGGGGCGCACGGAGCGACTGGCTGAAATCTACTTGCCACGGGCAAGTAGATTCAGCTGTTTGTTGAGCTCTGTATATATTTCATGAGTAGTATCAATATCATTCAGGGGTGGCCCGTGAGCCTAGGAGAGTTAGGCAGCTGCCTAGGGCACTGCTGGCTCGGGCGCCCGATGATGATGTCACAGGGCACCGGGGTGCCCCATGATGACGTCATGGCCATTGACAGCCATGCAGGCAGTGGCACCGATTGTGCTGCCCCGCCTAGGGCACCAGCTGCTGCAGCCAGCCTCGGGCCACTCCTGATATCATTGCTTAGTAGGTTAACACTGCAAGAGCTTCAAGGGTCAATCCAACTTCTTTCATCAATAGAGGGCATGGTATATAGCAACATAGATCTGTACACTGCATGTCTTTTGCAATATCTCACAGGGTAAAGATATCCATATGAACCATAAGTAAAATCTGGAATTTCACTTATTTTTTTTTTTACACAAGGTCCAACAGGTTTCACAAATCCTTTAAATATCTTAAAAGATTTCTGGCTACACTGACTAGATCACTGACTGTACTGTTCCTTTATGTTGCAGATAAACCACTGTATTCCAAATTAATGATTAAACATAAACTACAGACAGTTAAATTTCCAGTTTCCCTTTTACATTTTTAGACTATGCATGATCTCTTGTAAAGAATTTTATTAAGAACAACATATGGCTTCAAATAGTTGCATACAAAGGCCATCTATCTAACTGGCAAGTGAACACTCTAAATGGGTCACTTAAATTCTCATCAATAATATTTTAATTTTAAATATGTCAATGTATCTGCAGTCAGAAATGCTAAAGCACAACACACCTTGTGCTAATATTGTGGAAATTAAATAAGCTATTGCAAAGAAATTGCTTTCATGATGTAAATCCAGTTTGCCTGCTAATTAAATACATTCATATTTGCTATGTTGAGACACAGTTCAACAATTAAAGGAGATGTTAAAGAACATCAGTATTCATTTTTATAAATCAATCAATCAATCAATAATAGATAAACAAACAAATTAACAAATGAATAAACAAATGGATTTTTCATATGATCTCTATTTGCACATGAGAAAGGTGAATGCCAGCAGAAAAACTGTGCAACAAATATTTATGTAGCCTGTTTCAGTGATAGTTAATGACATAACTCTCACAGGTTAAAAAAGATAAGCCCCAGTGAAGCAAAAACAAAATAAAACAAATCGACCAAAACCCATTTCCTTCTCCTTTTTAAAGAAAACTCAGGACAGCAGCTAAGTCTTCTTCAATACCACCTTCCCTTGTTGATTTCCTGGCTTGATCTCTGCTGGTAAAAAAAAGAAGCGCCAATAAAAGCGAGACTTACTTTTTTTGCTGTTCTTCCTTTATCTAATCGT